AACCTCCGTAACCCGTGTCCCTAAGGGCCCATTTGCTTCAGTGCGACTCCCTCTTCCACTCCCCGATCGCATCGGGGAGCAAGGACAAATGTGTGCCCCGAATATTGTTCGACCATCTTGCTCTGCTAAGATTGCTCCCCGACGTTAGCAAGTAGCAAATTCAATATCGGGATATATGATGTTGCGTGCCGCACATTATTCGAGAAGCAAAAACAACATCAATGGCACGCCTCCGCGGCGAACTCATCAGGGTAATACGATTGAAGAAACACCAGGCCTTTGGACAACAACAAAGGAATTATCCGCTGACGGGCTACCAACTGCAGCATGTCTTTACTACGGTGAGGGCAGGATAAGGAACCATTGGCTCAGGAACCCAAAGTCTGGGGAAACTGGTGGAACTCCTACCGTGGATTCGCTATGGATGTCGCCGCCACCCTCATCGGACAAGGAACCCTCCAAGATCTGGAGCCTCCCGGGCACGTTCCCTGCCCAACGCCCCCCACCGTATTTTTCCTGCCTCCCGAGATACGGTTGGACCCAGGACAGAAGAGCATCATTTAAGACAATGAGACCCTCCGCCGGCCCAAACTGAAGAACATTCGAGGGTACCCTCCCCCAGGATGCACAAGAGCATCCAACAAGCACGAAAAACATCAGGGCACCCTCCCAGAACCGACCTCGATCTTATGCCTCGGGCCGGCCGTACAGCGACACGAACCAGCGCAAACGACGGGTGGCGGCGGCGGAACACGGGCGGCCGCCCGCGAACGTCAGCGAGCCGCCGACTCCTCTAGGCGGCGCGCCCGGGGGCGCGGTGAGAGGGGGCGGGCCTGGTCAGAAGGCTCAAGAAGTGTTCAAAGAAGCGTTCAAAAGCCTCCCACGAAGGCACAAACAGATCCTCGGAAGGCCAGGGGGCTTCTGAGAACTGAGAAGTCCCGCCGCCTTCGGAGAAGTCGGCTATACGAAAGAGTGACCCTGGGTAAGCGTGACCTTTGGTGCGCGACTTTTGGGGGGCCGCGGGGGGACCATTCCTGGGTGCGCAAGCGGCTGCGACTGCTTCGTTTTCAGCCATCTGGGCACCAATCCGTGCCCGCACCAAAGGTCACTCCGGCGAAAGGTCACTCTTACGTCTAGTCGAAGAAGGCATCCTCCTCCTCCCTCCCCCCCTCGCGCGGCGCCGATCCTCGTACTCGTACCTCAGCCCCGCCGCCTCCGCCACGGCCGCCTTCGCCTCCACCTCCTCGGGGCGGCCCGGCGCGCCGGGCCCGCCCACGGCGAGGGCATCTTTGATGCGGCCAGGCGCAACTTGGCTTGGCGTGTAGCGGCGGCGGCCCTGGCGACACGGCGTGCCTTGCCAAGCGACTGGCGTGTCGCTCCGCTCCGCGGGGCGGGTGGCTGGGAGGTGGATCACGTGTCGCGCCGAAGCGTGGTGGGCCAGAGCCGGCGGAGCGACACGCGATCCCAACCTTGCCGGCCGTAAGAATCATCTGATCAGGAGCCCAGGGTCTGGAAGCCCGTGGAACACGAATCAAGGCTTGGCCACGGACATCACCGCCGCCCTCATCAGGCAAGGGATCTTCCAGGGTCCGAGGCCTCCCGGGCTCTTTACTCACGAGATGCCCCCACCGCATATGATTCGGGATACTCTGCAGCTCTGGGCTAACTCCAGTTTGCGCCCTCGACGCACGAACCAGGACTTACCTTTGACCACCTCCAGCCCCCGTGATTCGGGAATGGTTCGACGCCCGGACTATCCAAGACACCTCAGGTCCAAGGTACCTCCAGCTTGGCCCCCCAGGCCCCCAGGCACGACTCAGGAGCTACCCCTGGCCACCCCCATCCCCGATGATGCAGGGCTCTGAGTTGCCCCTGACGCCGTGATGTCGGTTCGAATCGGATCGAGACGCCTAAAGGCCCAGATCGCCCAACTTCTGGATCCGCGCCTCGCGAGAAGCGCGCTCTCGTGCGGCCTCGCCGGGCGAATCCCCGGCTTGGGCTGCGAAGCTCGAGGCGAGGCTACGGTCGGGGTCTTTTGATTGGCGTGTGGCGGCGGCGGCCCCAGCGACACGCTATGCCCTGCGACCGAATCGCGTGCCGCCACGCTCCGCGGGGCGGGAGGCTGGGCGAGGCTCGGGACATTGACGCTCCGGGGACTGGGACGTGGACAGCGCTTCGCTCCGAAGCGTGGTGGGTCCGAATCGCACGCTAAGCCAAACTTCCTGACCGTATCTCTGGAGCGTAAGAAACCACCGTGTATGACCAAGACTGAACGCGGGAAGACGGGTGTCGACCACGGTGATCGCCCATCTTGGTCATCGCCTACTTGTGGATCTTCCCGACGAACCGGTGTCGGCCGGCATGGGCCGTGGCCACTATCGGCGTCGACAAGACCCAGCGACATCTCGGCCGCTTAGGTGCACCGATACGCAAGACGAAACACGTAGCGTATTGATACGGGGCTCAACACGTAGGCTGAAAACGTCGGTCCGACGCGATA